AATGATTTCAAAGGTTAGGCAAACAGAAGATATGCATGTTTTCATTGGAGGCGCTTCCTGTACCAATGTTACTAGCAATGGTGCCAGTTTGCAATGTGTGCTTCCTCAGCTTCCCAGTGGAGAATATAATGTGACAGGTGGAAGTGTGCAGAGAGGCTGGGCTTCCTCAAGTTTGGTGTTCACTTCTGTCCTGACAGTTATCTCGGTGAAAAACAGCCATAGTAAGTATGTACACGCTTTTGGTGAGCAGAATTCATTAACTTTATTGAACTGATGTGGGAAGCAGACCAGAGGGTTAGAATAGCAAACTGTTAGAATATCAGAATTATACCTGACTGGAGCTGTGTTTGGAGCCAGTGTTCCTGTTTTCTTTGTGAAAGTACTTGTTATTTCTTCTAGTTCAGGATTTTTCCTGAAAGCAACAAACATATGGTTTGCCTTGCAAGTCATAGATTGTTTTTTTACCACATACATCATGCTTATGTTTTCTGATGACAAACTGTTCTCCTGCAACAAAACTAAACAAACCTTTTTTTTTTGGTTTGGTTTGTTTGATGTTCAGAAAACGCTTGTGATATCCCATATCTCACAGCAGAATGCTTCACCATCTTAGTTTCAAAATCCCATTACTAGTTTTGGAAGCAATGCCCAAGTACCATAGCTGACCTTCATCAGTTCTGTTGACTTGCTTGAGTCATTCTACATTTGGAGACATGCTTTATGAAAGTAAATGGCCAGCAAAGACCACGTGTTAACTGTCAAATGAAGGTTATTGCAAAGCTTTAATATATCACCTTAAAAGAGATATGTCACAGAAACACACAGCTCTGCCGGTGCTAACAAGGGGATTCTAATAGATTATTAGTAATTGCTTTATATTCTAAAGTTTAAATTTGCTGTTATCCATTTTAGAGTTCATCTGTTGTGTTGTTTGGAGTGATGCGTTCTTGGGACAAAGCAGAGATGGGCAACCTGTGACCCACGGGACAGTCTAAGCCCCTCAGTCTAATTTTTTGCCCCCCAAACCTCCCAAGTTCCTACTTCTAAAATTCAGTAGCAAAATAATAATTTTTGGTAGCATGCTTATTTTGTGTATACAAATTAAAATTCAAAGTAGGTATGCTAAGCCTGTCTTTTAAGTGACCTCCCAAACCTTTCCAAAAACAACCCCTACCAAGAAAATAGATTTTCTCCTGGTCCTTCTGATAACATCACTCCAAGGCTAGAATAAAAAGAAAGAAATAAAAAAGGTACGCATCCAGAACAGATGAAAATTGCTTACCTCTTGTGTAAGGTTTTACTCTTCATACTTATGTGTCTTCTTATTTGTATAATCATATTACTTTCCTTAAAAATTTGTGAAAGGAATAAGGAGAGTCATTATCTTTATATCTTATAGACTGTCTTCCAGAACATAATATATCCAAAATGTTATGGGAAGCAGTGGATGACAAATTTCAGCAACACAAATTGTGAAACATTATGCACATTTTTTTTCCCTTTCAAGGCAACCTTGAGGGAGGAGAACTATATATACATGGAAATGGATTTTCTCCAGGAAATACTTCAGTTGCCATCTGTGGTTCTCTCTGTGAAATGCTGAATGTGGTCACCACAACTGATTTGAGCTGCTTAACAGGGCCCTTGAATGGTCAGTTGAATGGCTGAGATGTGCTAATTGAGATAAGAATGAGAAAGAAAATACATTGACTGCACTGCTGATTGCTTCTCACTGCTGTGGGTACAAAAGATTAATGTGATCCCCTTGGTGCTATTTTAAATAGAATAAAAGAAACTGGTATGACTCTCTTGGAGAGATTAATAAGAAATGAGGAATTGTCCTTCAGTATGATACTGGAAGTATGTGGTACATGTCCATGAAAAATGTTATAGGAGTATAACTAAGAATAAACTAATCTTGAAAGTTCCATCACTTTCATATCTATTGACTGTTAAGTCTGTTTCATCCTCTTTCTGTGCAATTTGCTTCTTGGAAAGAAAACCCTAATATGGAGGTGTTTTTAATGATTTTTTGACGTGTTTACAGTTCTTTTTAAAGAACATGAGGTAGTCAGAAGTCTTCTCTTCTCTTCTCTTCTCTTCTCTTCTCTTCTCTTCTCTTCTCTTCTCTTCTCTTCTCTTCTCTTCTCTTCTCTTCATTGGTTGCAAAATCTAGTAAGCGTGAAGCCTGACACACAAGGTGAAAAATGCCCTAGAACTAGCCATGCATTGTGAGACACTACTCTTTCCTGTTCTGCCAATATTATGATAAGACAACTACCTATCTACCTAAAGCAACCATAACCTCCCTGTACAATTATCTTCTCCCCGAAAAGTTAAAATCAGCAGTTGTAGTTGTAGAATGGTATGTTTATTGTACATCAATATATATCCTTATCATTATACGTAAAGTTGCTTTGTTATTTCTTTGTTGACAAGTCAGAGTCATCAACCAGGCACTCTCGTTCTTCTAGTGACAGAAACAAGCCAGAGTAACTGATTCTCATATAATGCTAAAGAAACCAGGGAGACCTCCATTGGCTAGATGAGCCAAGAGAGAGACATTAGACATAATCAATTAGCTGACTATTTGTTCCTAAAAAGGAAAAGGAAGGGGAGAGAATATTTCAAGTGCCAGTAGGAAATAATTTATTGTACAGAAGCCTGCTGAATTTCAGAAACTTCTTTTATCAAGGGCACTACGAAACCAGTTTGTCCTTGTAAAAACATCCATATCTAAAATGAGATAAGGTAAGGTCAACGTTCAGCACAATTTATTTTAAAATTAATGATATTTTATTATTTTACTTACTTTATCTCTAAAATACTGAAATAAGTAAGCATGTCAAATAACCTGGAGTTATTAAAAAGAACAACCCTTTTGCACACATGGAAAATATCCACTTTCAGGGAAGAAAAGGTAAACTAGTATAACTGAAGTTTTCAAAATATTTCCTTTGCTTATCACTCTTTTCTTTTTTGGTTTACATTCCCATATAAAACAAGAAAACTCACAAATTCTCTGATGGGTCTTTCAAAAATCTCAATGTTTTTGTTCTTTTTCTAATAAAGAATAAAGCCAGAAAAAGGGGGGGGGGAGTTTATTTTTAATAATACATTTAACTTACCTGTGCTTAACCTAAAGTAGTCAATTGATTCATGCACTTTTTTTTAAAAAAGAGCATATATCTAGAGGTGCCTGCAGGGCGTCAGGGGAGAGGCAAATGATCAAAGTGTCAGATCCTGCAGGTGCCTCTGCATATATCTTCCACCACTAAACCCTAGAGAACACATTTAAGTGAGTGCTAGAGATTTACTGAACATCTACTTGCTATTTGGGAAAGTGATTAGGAAACTAAAAAGATTCTATATTTGGTAAGATCAGATGAATATTTGGAACTCAGATTGTTCAAGTAAAACAATTGTTTAAAAACCATTTACATAGGAAACAAACAGATAGGAATTAATCACTCAAGCATGATTGTTCTCATCTTAAACAAGTTAGGAATAATTTACCATTACGGCAATTTTAAGGAACTCTAAGGAACAGTTGCATTTTATTCTTAAGAGTCAGATTTTCAACTGCAGATCTGGCTGTAAGTAATTTCCCACTGCGAAATAGAACTATTATTGGATCTTCCCATCCCTTGCGGTCACTGAACGTATTGCAAATATGCACACAAAACAACTTTTTTCCCCAGTTGGTGGATGGATAGAGACATTATTTACAAAATGTTTCTACATGCAAGAATAGAATGTTGGGACATAATACAGAATTTATGTCCCAAAATACAACTGCCCAGAGTCGCTCTGCACTGAGATGGGTGGTGACAAATTTGAAATATAAATAAATAAAATAAAATGTCCCAAAATATAAGTGGGCAAGAATATTAGAGTCCAAAAATTAGGATTAGGGAACATATACATTCAGAGAGCAGCAGTCCCTTTAGTAAAACATTTTATGAAAAAAAAATTCATCAGTGCATACTCCCACAACTTAATTTGCCATTCTATTGAAGGAATTATATGTCATTTCTAATCAAAAGTATAACATAATATAATATATCCTTACCTTATATAAAGCCAACTTGGTGTACTTGTAGGAATATAAGGTTGGTAATGTTTAACCAAAATACACCTGGTTGGACAGAGAAATCAATGGTAGGAATTAGTTTCATTTCTAATAAATCTTCTTTCAGAATTGTTGGACTTTAAAACATTGCCGCCAAATATTATTATTTAATTATCATTTTATTATAAATTATTTAATTATTATTTAATTATAAAATTATTGCATTTCCAATATTTTTTAAAAATGAATTATCTATTTCATCAATCAATACTAGAGCAATATACCATTGACAAAACACCTTTTACCAGTTTTCTCTAAGAGTAATGTTCATAATGAATGTAATATTTATCTTCCATTGATATTCTCATTGTTGCATGTCAATTGTCCTATTTAAAATCTGCATCCTTTTAATCATGCATCCCTTAACTTGTTCAGCTTCTGAATGATATGTTATCCGCAACTTCTAAGTAAGCCTGAACAAACATTCTGATTTTTGTGTGTGTTCCCCCCCCCCCCCAAATTTGGCCTCTGAATAGTTCTTTCTTTGGCCTTATTCTTAATAATTAGGGAAGTGCAAAAGTATTTAAATATTTTTGAGGAAACTGATAGAAAATTTGTGAATTCATTTTGTTCTATATGGTAATAGAACAAAATGAACTCATGAAATCTATAACAGTTTTATCTGAGAATATAAAACAAAAAAATATCTTCCCAGAGTTGTTCTGAAGTTAGATGGAACCTAAATCTAAGCAAGCAAACAAACAGTGATAAAAGTTTAACCAAAGAGATGCTTTTTTTGTATTTAACTAGTTTAGCATTTTCTTCCCTAAAAGAAACATTTTCCATTTGTGCAAATAATTATTTTTCCTCTTTTCATTTTTTGTTATCCAACATGCTTATTTATTTCAGTATTTTAGTGATACAATAGATAGAATGATAAAGTATTATTCATTTTAAAACATGTCTGTTTTGTCGTAGATTCAAACAATACATTGCATTCAGTGTTGGTCTTCCATGGGTAAAATTGTATAAGCAGTTTTTATGGTTTTGTTTTGCAATGCCCTTGATAAAGGAATTGTTTGAAACATATTGGGTTTCTATATAATAAAATATTTCATACTGTGATACTTTTCCCCCACTTTTTTTTGGCAAGGAGTGGGTGGGTTCGGCATCTGTGCTTTTTTTCCTTCTACTTGTTTGTGAGCAAGCCAGAATTTTTTACATTTCTGGATTACGGTTGTACGTCACCATTCCCACAATGTTTTGATCTTCTCCTCTCTGTTTTGAAACCTGACATATCTTTTTTTTTTTTTTCGGTAAATAATTTAGGAGGCAACCTTTTTGTTTAACCATACAGAAATGTATTTTCTAGGCATCAGAATAAAATGAGTTCAGCTAAATTACTGAAATATACAAAAATCATTGCATTGAATTTCCCCATTGGGTTATATTCATTCATAAGAAATGTGGTTAATCTTTAGTCCTTGCAATATTTTAAACTGCCATTAGATGTCAGCAAATGAACATTGGTTACTATTACTGATACAGCACTGGGAGTTTTTGTTATTGTTATTTATGGGGTTATGCCAGTTGCTTCAAACCACAAAACGGATTCCTCTTGCTGGGAGAAGAAGACACAACCTGAGAAATAGCCTGCAAATAAAAGTTTAAGTAACAGAAGAAACATCTGAGGTTTTTAATTTACAATAATGCAGCTGAGCTAAACCAAAGACAGGCTGAGAGGAGTAGCCAACGTTGTTCCAAAGGTAGTTATGAACTCAAGGAAAAGTGTCAAGAATAGGCAAAATTCTTGCATCACCTTTTTCCACAAGGAAGGCTGGGGTGGGAAAATCAAAACATTCTTAGGAAACAAACAAACAAAGAAACAAATTCTGAGGCTCCAGGTTGTATGGGTTAGGGTTAAGGCTAAATCTGAACTCTGCATATCTCTGAGAAGATATATGATGGTGCTGAACGTTCTTCCATGAACTGAAAAAAGATATCTGCCCATACAATGAGGCAATACTGCATCTAGCAAGATATGGCTCATCCTGTCTCAGATTTGTGTCAGTCTGGCATGTGTTTATTGCACGGTGCTACTGGGACAGTTTATAGGCAAAGAGAATTGCTGACTCAGTCTCTTTTCCTTGCAGTGCCACCTTGCAAACAGCAAAAAGCATTTCCTCTAGGCTTCAAACTAGCAGGATCAAGTGGCCTGAAGAGTCCTGAAGGCCCCATTTGATGTTCTACAACTAGTTTCGTTCCTCAGAATGTGCAGCCTTGCTGATTTCCTCCCTTTCTGGCCTCCTTCCTGGAGTGCATCGGAGATGGTGACAGGATGGTTATTAACCCCATTAAAGTAGGATATTGAAGCCTTGTTCAAATAGGAAAAACTGAAGAAACACAAACTTCTGATGAAGAATTTTAAGGACATAGTAAGGGATATTAAAAAAAAAAAAAGGTTTTATGGAATCTATTGCTAGTAAGACTAAGATGAAAGAAACTTTAGGTTGTTGGGCTATTGGATGACAAGATAATCAAAGAAACAGTAAATCAGGATTAAGAGATGGCAGAAAAGCTTAAATGGATACTTTGCATTGTCTTCACTGCAGAAAATGTTGGGTAAATATGAGCTGATATTTTCAGAAGGGGAAGCTGAGATAAAGAGGGATGATAAGAAGTGGATTACATCAGCAAATTGGAAACAAACAAAAGAACCTCCTCAGTCCAATTGGTAGTGCTAGAAAGCTTAGAACAATTAGGAAAGAATTTTTACATAAGGACAAAGAGCACCATGCAGTTCAGATAGTGAAAATAAATTCCTGGACTCAGATTTCTTTAATTTTATATATGACTTTTATGGTGGGTTCCAAATATTTTTTTTTTCTGTAGAACCCTGAAAGACCCAATAATATAGGTTCTGAAATCCTCAAGTCTTTTCCTTCCTCCAGTTGTGAAATAGGCAAGAACAGAAGTAGAATCTATACTTCTGGATTGACCTTTTCAATTGGCAGATTGAGTAATTGATTTAAGATGCTGCTATTGTCCTTTAAAAATCGTACCGAAGTTGTGACTTTTCCTTTCTTTTCTCTCTTACCACAGTCAACATTTATTAAGGTATGATATAAAATGACATTCAATTAAATCCTCCTTGTTATTCAACATACAGTGCAACTATCTCTGTGTGTAGTGTGTGCACACACCCACACATACATGTAAGTTGCACTGAGTTCAGTGGAATTTATTTTTAAAAAAATGAGTTCAGCACTGGTGGGGAACCCATAACCTTCCAGATGCTTCTGGATTAGAACTCTCAACCAATGTTACCAATGCTGAGGAATCCTGGGGGTTGTAGTGCCACAACTCTGGAGTGCCAAGTTTCCTTCCTCTACAATATAAGGCAACAGAATTATCTCATTTTAATAATATTTTTATTTATTGTTTAAATACACTGTTCTACAACCATCCAGAGTAGTGGTGAAAGTAAGATCTAAATTACATTTAATTCCTAAACAAATAAACAAACAAAAACATAAACAAATCTGTGGATTAACCCAGAAAAGATTGAGATTATTTGTAGACTGTGGGAAACAATTTTTAAAAAAAACACCTTAAAAGCTTTGTTCTGAGCTTCATTTTTTAAAATTGTATCACTTTATACACAGATTCCATGGACAAGACTACATTCTGAAGGTGATTTTTTTTGGGGGGGGGTTGCACTAAATTATTTCTAACTGTTATTCACAGTTTTCTTTTTTCTTTTTTATTGCAGTAGCGGGGGGAATAATCAAGCACCATTCTAAATAGAGTTTCTAGATCTCTGGTGACTGCATTTTTAGAAACAGAATACTGTGAAATAATATGCAATGTGTGTTTGTGTGTGTATGTATGTAGATGCATATATAAATTTTAACTACTTCTATGGTGTCCTTCAATCAAAACTGTTTCCATGGTGGTTTATAATGACAGAGTGCTATGCAAACGTGCACTCTTAGAATGCCTTGATTGATACAGTGGTAATTATAACAAAATGATTAATATCAGGAGCTAGCTAACTAACAGCAGTATTTACTTAGAGCACCTCTACATTTGATATTTGTACAACTCCAGGATCATCTCGGTGCTTCTGTGATCACTAAGTGTCATCCCTGTTGGGCACCTGAGCCATTTGTTTTCAGCTCAGCTGCAGGGCAACCAAAAATGCTTCATGCCTGTTTTTATAGCTAAAACCATGTGGGTGGCCCATTTTCCACATTAATGGGAGCTCCTGTCTCTGAACTTGCTCACATGGCCTCCTTCTCACAGAGGCTCAGCTATGAACATAACATACCAAGACACTATAATTCACCATTCTGTGAGCAGAATAATGGTGCTATAATGGCTTCCCTTTGTTTTTTAGTAACCATAGTGATTTTTAAAACAACACCACCACCCCAAACCCCCCCCCCCCAACCCCCCCCCCCCAACCCCCCCCCCCCAACCCCCCCCCCCCAACCCCCCCCCCCCAACCCCCCCCCCCCAACCCCCCCCCCCCAACCCCCCCCCCCCAACCCCCCCCCCCCAACCCCCCCCCCCCAACCCCCCCCCCCCAAATGCAGAGCACAGGGTGTTACAGGTAGGGTTCCATTTATTGCAAAGTCCCTTTAGTCAGCTGAAGGAACTACTGGTTGCTTCTGTGGAGAACTCAACCTCTTGAAGCCTGTAGAATTATGTATTATCTATGAAAGTACTGTTGAGAGTTTGAGGAGTAAAGTTAGTGTTAGTGTCAGGGCCAACTGATGCTCTGAGCGCAGCCCTCGGCCCTTCCATTGCTTAGCTGACAAGACATTAAGACTTAAGTGCTGAAAACGAAAGTTGAGGGTGGCAGTGAAAGAGTTAAGGGCATGATAGCCCGGGGGGGGGGAATCTCTGTGGTGCCCTCCTTCCTGTGGTGCCCCCCTTCCCTTGGTGCCCAAAGCCCTGCACTTACTTTGATTAATGGTTAATCCAGGGCTGGTCAGTGTGGAACACCGTTCAATTAGGACAGACAATTTTAGAGCTGGCCTTGTGCTTTCAGGAACATCACAGCTTATCTGCAGGGGAAACTTTCCACCATCATTTTAACCCAGCACACTGCTGTTGCAAATTATCATCAGGAGCATCAGGAAAAGGAGACTACTTCTATACTTCTGTAATCAGTTGATGTCCTCTCACTCCCTCTCCTTTTTTCAGCATCTATAGCGGTTCTCTGTGGCTTGACGTACTCTGTAGAAGAGGACAGCGAAGACTGCCAAAGAGCTGGCGCAGCCCTGATCCAGTGTGACATCCAAATCAAAGCAAATGTTGATGTTGTTACAGCAGCCACCCCGTTCCTATTCCTTTGTGATGATTTGGCTTATTCCTCTTTAAGGCCTAACAAGGACTCTATCAACTCATCCCACGTCCATTTTTCTGCCCTTCTTATCAGGTTAGACATGGCTTTTTCTAACCCTAGCTGGATCTTGTGCATTTCTTTCAAATACATAACTTCTGATCCAAAGCAAAATCTACTGAATGCTGCTGGGGGAAAAAAAAGATTAAGGTTTATGAGTCACAGTTATTAAAAAAACGCTTTCCTTATCTCAATTATATTGACTTACAGCAAAAAAATGCAATTTTAGCAACCCTGCGTAGTATTCATCTAGCTAATACTGGCAAGCAGACTCACTGTAGATTTAAGGCAGGGATGGACAACTAGTGGCCCTTCAAATGTTGGACTCCAACTCTCATGATACCCCATCACTGCTAGGGCTCAACAATATTTGGAAAGCAGTATGTTGCCAATTCCTGGTTTTAAGCTTCAAATCACTGTCTCATTTGATTAATTTGGCACCAGTTCCTCAACAGGATACATTGGCTTGAAGTCTAGGGAAGTGGGTACCACCGTTCAGGTTGCAATCTTGCAACACTCCTGTATTTCAAATTGCAGTCCAACATACAGTAATTAAGGTGTATCTGACATCTGTGTTTGAATGGTCAGACTTCTGGTTCCTGGGTAGTAAGCTCTAACCTGTACTTTCTGCCATGCTGAAGTCTTATCCTTGATAAAGACTGGTTCCTTTTTTTTTTTTTTTTTGCAGTTTCCCTAAAATTTCCCAAGTTGTCCACACATGCCCCACCCCTCCATGAATTTATTGATAGGCATATCTAACTTGATCAAGGCCCTGAAGAAATCTAGGGCAATGTATTATATAGGCTTCACTGAAATCTTATGTTTCTCCTCCAATCTTGCAGGATCTAAATCTTGTGTCTCATAAATTTGGCCTTGCAAGAGTTTGGTGTTACTTGGCCATCATGAAATTTAGCCCACTGCTGCCTACCCTAGCAGTTGTTCAGGGTTAGCTTGGTAAAAAAAAAACAGTGATGGACATCAATAACGATTTGGGCTTACAGGATCCAGGCCAGGTTTTAGCTTATTTCTTGCTACTTCCTGGGCAGTTCTGTTAGGATTTCAAAAAGGGTAGCAAAGAAGTGAGAATGTAACAGTCCTGTGGCCAGCTTGCAGAGTGGTTTAATAAACAGTGTTGTTAACTCCTCTGATGACCGAGCCAATAATTATTGCTGAAAGCAATTTTGCAACTATTCTCTTTCTTGCAGATAAGACCATGGCTTGCAGGGATGGGAATTCATCTTTTCATAGTGACATCTTTAAGTCACAGGAGTAAAAAGAAGTTGGCAAGCGCAATGGGGAAATGTGCTGCTGGTTTTCTGTGATGACAGGAAAGGCCAAACTTTCAACACCCAAGTTCTGACTGCCTTTCACACAATCTTAAGGATAATTTGTTACGGCATTTGAAAGGCATACAAATCATCTCTCAGTGTATAGAAACGGATATTAGAATCTTAAACGCCCCCACCAAAGTAGGCAGCTGTCAACAGGCAGGGCTAATTAAGAATGGCCCTTTATTCCCCCCCCCGCCCGGATTATTATGACTACCTCTTACGCCATCTACCACTTCCTAATGTGAAAAGAGATTGTATAGAAAGGGGGCCCTACTAAACTAACTGGCACATATATCGAATCTGCTTAGCCTGGGCTGTTAAGTAAGTTTAATTAATTTACTAAGTTAATGTTCCAGTGCTGGCAAGAAAGCATCATTGCTATCAGCTGGGTAGCAGGAATTGGAACCCTAAATGAGCTCATTTTTTCACAGTTGGAATTAGGGACCAGTTAGCCAGTTATATGGTTTTCCAATTTCTGCACTTGCCCTAAGGGAGTTGCAAGTTATTCATTCCCCAGGATTAAGTGTAAGAAAAAAGAGCTACTTGGGATTTACTTCCATCTTTGACTCAAGCAGTGTCTATTCTCTTTAGTTTTCTGCCCTTATGTTTGCTCTGTCCTAGAAGTGAATGTGTACGTGTATTATTTTGAGAGGCTGGCAGAACAGCATCTCTAAGAAATGTTTCCTATGTGTATTTTTGTTGGGAGGGTTTGCAGATAAAGGTGTGTGTGTGTGTGTATGGGGTGGGGGAGCAAAACAAATAAACAATAAAAGAATGGAAACAAAATTACAGAAATTTGCAAAGTTTGACAAATGGTGGTCTGGAGTTGCCACAAGCTAATGGCTTGCGATGATTAATAAGAGTAAAAATAATTGCATTTCATTAAGATTGATGACACCCCATTTAACCTCCCTTCTCGTTTCAGCCCTAAAGTGGAAAGAGATGAAGTTCTCATCTATAATAGCTCCTGTAACATTACCATGGAAACTGAGGCAGAGATGGAGTGTGAGGGACCTAATCAGCCAATTACCGCCAAGATTACTGAGATATGGAAAAACTGGGGCCAGAACACTCAGGTATAATCAAATCTTTTTTATAGACTGATTCAAACAGCTTAAAATTAAATTTGTAATATTGTGTACATTTAAGCGAAAAAAAAAAAAAACCCTAGGCCAGGCAGAGGCAATATATAATTTTAAATGCTCTCCAACTTTGAATAGCAGATCTAAGGCACAGCAAAGGAACTAATTCTTAACTATGGTTAACCATGTTTTAATAAATATGAATGAGACCTGCTGTATTTAATTGCTTTCTGTTGTCTCTTTATTTTTGCAAACTCCCTTCATATAAATGAAAGTCCCTTCCTAATTTGATGCTTCTTCCTGCCTCTGTTGCTGAAATCAGAGATCCTGATCACAGATTTTTTTCCCCTGAGTTATTGTGGTCTCTTCTTATGCTCTTGAGGCAATGGGCTATTAGCTAGTTTGAACCAGGAAGATGATAAGCCATCTCTTTATTAGAATATGGACTAGCAGTTAGAAACTTCTTGCATACTGCCAGTTTTTTTTTTTTTTTTTTTTTAATTGTTGCCTCTTCAGTCCTTTTGGAAGAATTGAAATAATTGAAACTCAATATTTGGGTTCTGTCCTCATAGGAGCATAATGGTATTTTTAAAATGTCATTATTTCTAATAACATGGAGTTAATCAAGTGATGTGTTGCCCTTGCATTCCATTAAAATCTGTAAGAAATATAACTGCCTTTTATACTTCTGTTTTTCCTCCCTCTGGCCCATATCTGAACAGCTGTAGAAATTCTCCTTAGCTGCTCTGTGTATGTAAATGCATGTTGTGTGACATACAAGTGATTGTTTTAAAAGATCCACTTTTGTTAGCAAGAACCCAGTAGCTTCAGCCCTATTCAGACAAATTCAGTGCAAAAGACGAGAATAAATTCAGGCAGATGGATGTATTTATGTCTATTGTATTTAAAATTTAGTAAATAAAATCAAGTAATACCCAGTTAAGTCCTCCTCCTTTTCTCAATTCACCCTGTGTATACAGCGCTTATTGTTTCCTTAGTTGGGAGACATGCAATCTGCCAAGAGTCATTACACTGCAGTGGGATACAAATTGAATAAATAAATAAAGATAAATAGAAATATTTTTAGTGTAGGTTTGGGAGATAGGAAGAGGGTACACAGGGAAGATGAGAAGACAAGAAAATCTGTTTGCATCATTTTCAGTTTGAGTAGAATTTTTTTTTCTCATAGAGCCAGCTCATGAACTCACTCTTTTCATTATAGAGGCCTTTGCAGTTTCGTGGTAATTCCTTTTACCTTTTATCTTCTGGAAGCGATATGTAGAAAATGGTTTCAGAGTTAGGAAATGAGAAAATATTCTGAGAATGATTCTTTAAAATTAAAATATTATTTTAAATACATGAATTTGGGAAAATGATAGGGGAATAAAACTTTAACAGTAATGGGTGAGATGAAAGATCACAACTATCCATAGAGTAGATGCTTGGCTGTACCAGGGTTCCTTCTCATAATATTAATTAGAGAAAGTAGAGTAAATAGCACATAGCCAGATCAAGACCTACCTATACGGCACTGGGACTGTAAGCTGGTCCTTTTACTAAGAGCCTGTGGGAGATATTTAATTAGCATCAGTCCTATCAAGAATGAATGAATATAGAATTTGATTTCTTAACATTTTCCTGGCGTGTAGGTAGGTCTTGATCTGGCTATGTGCTATTTACTCTACTTTCGTAGGTAGGTCTTGATCTGGCTATGTGCTATTTACTCTACTTTCGTAGGTAGGTCTTGATCTGGCTATGTGCTATTTACTCTACTTTCTCTAATTAATATTATGAGAAGGGAACCCTGGCACAGCCAAGCATCTACTCTATGGATAGTTGTGATCTTTCATCTCACCCATTACTATATTTGTTCTTGAAGACCTGGAAGTGAATTCAGAATGAGAAACAAGGCAGGCAACATGGACTCTTTAGTGGTGCAGGGGATAGGATCTTCTCTTTACAGAGGTAAAGGAGTTAGAAGAGGCCATTTAGACCATCAAGTCCAAACTCCTGTTTTCTGTAGGAACATAAGAGAAAGGATTCCTGACTGACAGCTGTCCTTCCTCTGCTTGAACACACCCAATGATTGGGAGCCCACCACCTCTTTGAGGGATTCGTTTCACTGTCAAGTTGCTATCCTGTTAAGAAGTCCCCCCCCCTCCCCCATTATTCAACTGTTTCCACCTTCCCATACTTGTGGATTAAGGTCTGAAGTAAGGGAGGTTCTGAGATAACCATCTAGCAGCTTTTGCAAAAATAGACAATCAAGAGGTCTATTTGGCTATTGTATCTGCGAAGCCACACCATGCTTGGGGGCAAGAGTGCAATCAAGAGTTCCATTTCTACAGTATTTGCTACAAAAGAGTCTGGGGAGCATTGAATAGATGGGGCTGCTCTTATTTACTTGTGTTGCACTGTTGTGAATGATCTGGGAAAGAAATATTTGTTAAGAAGATTGTGTAGCTGTCTTCACAACTATATATTACAGGAATGTTTGTTTTCTTAGTGATGTAAATGGTTGCCAAGTCTGACACCTTACATAGCTGAGGGATTAGAAATGCTGACCATCTCATTTCACACTGAGAAATGCAGTTAGGGACTATTCACGTGAATCATGTGAATGTCAAGATGGGATTATGTTTCTAACAGAATGGTGTGGGAATGAAGCAATGAAGTGGACCATGTCCCTTCAGACCTTAGCTGTTAGAATCATGAGCTACTTTTAATGTAATTAATAGAAATGTTTTCTATGGAATTGGAAATACTGATTTGGATTCTGTGTAAGTTTTGATAATCTAACAGGAGTCTGAATACATAGCTTTGTAACCTGGGGAGGAGGATCTAGAGGGTAATTGCATGCACAGTTAATTCACTATGGCCATTGCAACATTTACCATTAATTTCATTCTGAGGAAAAGTAAATAACTCTTGATTTATTCTTTCTCTGCCATCAGTGATTATCTGTATTCCATCTCCCTTATAGATTTTCGGAACTTGTGGACATTTTGTATTTTGTATGCTTGCTGCTGATCATATTACATTATCAATCTACACAGCAAATATGTGTAAATATGTATAATTACAAAGCTTATTGCTAGACAGCTAAAATATAATTTGTACCTTAGTTATGAGAGAGATGATTCTCTGGCATGCATCTCCACATGGTTGTTGTTCACATCTGGTGTTCTGTGTAATAAACTCTTCAGCTGTCAGTGATTTGTTTTAGCTCATGCAGCTAGTTCCCATTCTTTTGGAGAAGAAAACTATGTATTCGGTTCATGATGCTACCTTCTCTTACACCACATGGAACCATTCTCTTTCAAAAGGAATATGAATTGCAGAATCTTGAGTGTGCCAACTGAAGCCCAAGTAGCATGTATATGTTGAGGAGGAGCAGGTAGGTTAGATAAGTGGTTTCAATTTTAGTTGACAGCCCCTTGCTAAGATTTATGACACTGTGCAGTCTATGCATGTTTCTATGTAGAGGCTTTAATAATGTCATGCAAACTGGCCTTACCTTTTCACTGGAAATAATGGTACCAGTCAGAAAAATGCATTAATGGCCTCTTGTACACTGGGTTACTGTAATGGTGCTATTAGCAAGGGGTACAAAATGTCAGAGAAGTAATGGGACCTCACCTTTTCCCTTACACATTGGCCCCCTCCAAAGAATTCTACATGCATTGCTCCTAAAAGTGGGTTCTCAGCTGACACTTAACTTTGTTGGCATTTTCGAAATAAATTCATTTTTGACCCCTGCGTGATAGTTCTAGGAAGTTCTGGTATTGAGAAAATGACATGTCAATGTTTCACATTCTTCCCTGACAAAAAGCACCTAAACTTTTACTTCAGCCAAGTAGCAATTCATTATTAAACTCCATTTAAAAGATCTTTCCTTCCTTCCCCTGCTTCAAATTATGTATTATAATTGGTGTACATAATTGTTGAGAGTGGTGAGTTCTACTTAATTTTTTTTCTTTTTTTTCTTTTTTTTTCTTTTGGTAAAAGTATGTGAAGTGGAATTTTATAGGTTTACTACTATAGTATACAATATGTATATAATATATATCATGTAAGCATGCACATCTGCAAACCTATTATAATCAATATTTTTTTCAGAACTGGGAACAGACTTGCAGCAAGCACTGAAAACTGTCTTTATATTCCTGGGCATTATATTGCTTTAGTGGCATTTTCCAGATTCTGTTGCCTGCTCTCTTTTGACCAAGCAAAATCCATCTTCATAAGGTAGATGCCGCCTGCAGAACAAATGGACAGGTGTTTAAGTAGCAGTGTCTGACTTTCCTCTGATAGGGTTGACGTCCGTCTGGATGTGTCTTAGAACTAGTGGATGTATTGGTGGCACATTGAATAGCCATTTGATTTCTGTGGACTGGATGAGTGCAACAGCTTGATGAAATAATACCAGTAAATGCTGGACTGTGGATTTGGGGAAAGATGAAAGGGCGGCTTGCTGGAAACTGGGTAATGAATTAGGCTGGATGGAACAGAGTTGGTTGTAGTAAGAGTACACAAAGCTTCTGATAGACACGGCTGTAGTAATTATGTTGTAATATCAGAAAGCAGTGTAGGGGAGTTTCTTGGGTTCTGCTGGCTATTCCGTCAAATGATGACAAAAGGATGAGGACTCATATGTTAAATATTTTGCATATTTTTCATATATATTCCCAAATCAGAAAAACCTAACTAGTGGAAAAAATACGGCCATAATAATATACAGCTAAGAAAGGATAAAAACAAGAAAAAGATTAAAGAAAATAACCTATTTCCTGAACATTTGTTCCAGAGGCCTTTCCTATTACTGGCATACAAACTCTTTTGACTCATCTTTGATGAGAACAGGTTTATTAGAATCATTTTAATATTGATTTTGGCTTTGGGACATGGCTTTCCCAGATCTGACAGATCTCCAGAATCCAATGCTTGATGTATCAGCCTTTTCCTTCTCTTCCTTCCAAGTGTTCCCAGCAATA